TAACGTTCGTATATAATCAATCGCGATCGTATATCATGGATTACAAAAAAGGGGATGTTTTTCAGTAATTTATTTGCGTCAGGTATTTCATAACACTGCCTGAAATAGAGTTCTAAAGTGTGACGCCATAAAAATTAAATTTCTGAAATTATGGATCGACCCAAAACAAATTCAGAACGGTTTGTATGGAGTTATCAGAGCATAACTGGGCTAATATCTCAGAGACAATTTGCCCCGAAATGCTCATCTTTGGCAAGGATGCCTCTTGGACGTTGTTCTTTCAGAACATCCTGGCAAATCCCATAATTTCAGAAATTTGACTTTTATGACGTCATCACTTTAGTACTCTCTATCAATAAAGTCTTTTTTTCTCAAAACTTAAGGTGGCTTGGTGGGGTGTTTTAGGATCAATACTTCCAATCCTATGTTTGAATGAACGTTAGCTACGTCACAATTAACAAAGAATTGGAAAAATTGCTACCACAGCTTTATTAGATAAAGAAGAAAATTTGGTATGATCAGATTAGATTTTGGGATGAAGTTTTTATGGTTGGAAATTCAGTATAAAACTGGACAAGCTGGATGTTGGGCCGTTATCTTTAGAAAACGAAGCGCTTTTGAAAAGCAATTTTCCTCATCGTTGTTTCCTTCACTTTAAAAACGTCTTTAAAAAGATCGTGGGGACGGCCGATCGCAAGAAATAGGGATTTGATTGGCTTGCATTGAGATTCTCTTGTTGCCGTTTTTGTAAATATTATGTTTTACTTTAACAAAAGAGCGAATAACATTGAAACCGCTCGATAACTGATTTTTTTTTTTTTTAAAAATTAGTGATTCTCAAGATTAACCGTCATGTTATGTGACCTTTGAATTTCAAGATTATTGATAACTTGTAAGGCAATAAAATAAGGGCTACAATTCGCAATTTTTTTGGTCGGAAATTTCGTGTTTACAAGTGAGAGTCTCTCATTATTTAGGAGTATCTTTTCCTAGTTTCATATTTTTGTGGACAAAAATAGCTAACATTTCTTCATATTTCAAATGCATTCTTCTAGTTACAGCTTCATCCCAAAATATCTCCACAACGTTCCCATAGATTTAGCTTAAACTTCGCGAGCATCGAGGCAGCTACTGGAGGAAAAAAGATCTTGTGAACGATTTTGGAAAAAAAATTCCCAGTGCCGAGAAATACGGCTTCAAGTGCAGTAAGTAATGGCTTCATTTCGTTGCTATGACAACTCGATAAAATGGCAACCCTGATCATAACAAATTTTCATCTATATCTAATACAACTGTGGTGATAATTTTTACAAATCTTTGTTAATGGCGACGTAGGCAAACTTGGGAGGTATTGACCCTGGAAAACTCCATCGAGCCATTTTAATAGTGCACAATTCAAATTTTGCTGCAAATTATCAGGTCTTGCTGCGAGTGTAATTCAGTCTTTAGTGTAATGGGTGAGCATTTTGAAAAAGAAACTACGCCATGTAATCACTCATTGATTCATTCATCGAAATTTATAACCAATACATTAGGTAACAAGAAACATTCGATGTGTATAAACACGTATACCCTCGCAGGCGTTTTTTGGGAGTCGTATTTCCATTTAACGCCAGACTTAAAAGTAGTGCTGAAAAAAATTATGTTTAACTGAGTGCGTGAAGCAAGATCCCATCGCACTATCTAATATGAGAATTTATAGAAGAATTTTTTACGTTAGTTTTAGAATGAATTTCTTTACAGTAAAAATCTGTTGAGGAAAATGGGATGTAATTCATTGGGAAACTGATTAATCAAAGCAACTTATAGTTATTACATAGCAACTTACTAGCATGATCTTTCTAACGTATCCATTAGCAACAGGCAAAGGAGCGAAACCTACTCTACAGCATTTAGATTACATGATTTCGCCACCATTTTCTGCAGTAACAACAATAAAACCAATAGCTTTTCAAGCGACTTTCTGGACGATGAGTTTCCTTTTATCCCCTTTTTTTCTTTTTTTTTGTTGGCCTCTCATTTCACAACGATTTGAAGGTGAAAAAATTCAAAGGTTTGGCGTACTCGTAGCCTCCCCGGCAGGCTTTTTTAGGGGAGCTCGTATTTGTTCCCTAAAAACGCCTGCGGGGGAGGCTATATACTCGGGGACATACTGGATTGGCTACGGAGTATCTGAGTCATGGTTCTCAGCCGAAATTGTCCTTTCCATGAATATGCAGTGGAACCTCGATATAACGAACCTCTATATAACGAAGTACTCGGTATGATGAACATTTTTTTTTACCCAAAGAATAGTAAAATATATGGAAAAGAACCTCGATATAAGGAAACCTCGTTAGAGCAAACACATTTTGCCAGTCGGGCCTTTCCTTGCATCAAAGTTCCACTGTACTGTGAACGCTATTGACAGGAAAAGTGATTGACCTAGTGGCGTTTCTCTTTATTTGTCTGAGCAACATGGAATCGAAGAAAAAAAAAGACACTTTCCAATTGCTTTAGTATTTTGCACTTATTGCGCGACCTTTCAGCATAAAGAAACTCCGGGAATATTCCGCGGCGTATTACAAATATTGACGTGGCACTTGGCTCAAGAGCAAACAAAGTTATTGTGATATGAATAATATTGTCTTGTCTGGATGTCAGTTGGTACTATTGTTGGTTTAGCGACTTAAGTTCCTGTCTTGAACACAGTTTCCGAGAAAGAAAAACAGAAAACAAGTCATTACAATTCGAACCACGAGGCCTAAACAATTCCTTGAAAAATACCACATGTAGTTCGCTGTCTGGTTCACAAACTTTATGACATAACATAGCTTTTCGCACGAAATAAACTTAGAAATATTGATGGTGAGATTATTCGCATATTTGACAGTTTAGGGCTCGCCCATCATGCATCAGAAGCCGAGAGTCCTTTTGGGTGTTAAATCGTAAAATTTTGCGCTCGTGAAAAATAATGAAAAACTCCAAGAATAGGCATTGGCTTCTTTGAAATGGCTTCCACGTTTTCTTAACTTGTGTTGTGAATATGTAAGCTTGATCGGAACTGTTTTGGTGAGACAATAAAGCCTTTAAACGTATTCTTAGGAGCCACATGTAGACGCGATCGTTAATAACCGGCCGTATTGCTCAACAAAAGCGCAACAAATTGTCGTTTACAGAAAAATAAATTCATCACGGAAACTCTAAAACGAACTTCTTTTTTAGCGTAAATTTGTTTTAAAGAGTCTATTTCACGCTGGAGTTCTTCTTTTTTATGACGGATAATCACGACAAGCGATCTAAAAGAAACGAATTTGCTTCACTCGAGTTACCGTTTATAGAAAGCAATTTACTCCACGCTTGACTTGTTTTTCAAGCCGCGTCCGGCTCTTGAACCTTAAAACATAAAAAACAACAAACTCATCGAATGAATTCATGCAAGCACTCATTGGTGATAAAGTGTAAGAAATTGATTTTGCATTTTACCAGGTGCTTCTTAATTGTTGTGTATTTTCAATGTACCGCGTAGCTAAATGAAAAACAATTTTTAATATAAAATCGTACGTGTGCCGAAACAAATAAATAAGATAAATAAAATAAATAAATATAGCATGTATTGCCACGCCCGAAAAGATAAAAGTTATGAAAGATAAATTTGCTTAAATCTTATATTCTACCGATTTTTCTTATATCTGTAAAGATGTGTCATTTACGAGAGTTATTTTGCTATTGAAAGAAATTGCAGGTCTGCTCATCGACAATATATAATACAAAAAAGAAGAATGAAAAAAAACAAAGGAGCTAGTTTGGTTCATCTTATGAAGTTGAGTCAGACTTCACGATCATGACCTTCATCCGTAAAAGGTGTGTTGATGATTGTTTTTCCTGGTCAAGGGAGAGTTGGCCTCAAAATTGGATTAAATGGCAAATATGGGAATCATTCCACCGAGAAAAGAGGTGGTCCTGGGCTTATTTTCGAATCATCCGCGTTCCGTGCAGAAGATTAATGCTAATCTCGATCTAACAAGCGTAAGCGCCAAACAATTTTTTCTATAAGCTTCTTTTTGTGCGGCTCTTTGATTGTCTAAAGATTTCAAACCAACATTACATTGGCAATCATTCGATAACATGGAGCTTTTTTTGTTTCCTTCAGGTTCTAAGTAAACTTCTAAACCGTCAAATTTTCTCAATCACCGAGCATATAAACGCTTTACAAGCTTTAAATACACAGTCTAAAGCAGCCAAGCGTTTTACTAGAAATAAAAAAAGAACAAAAAATAAATAATATTACAGCGATAGGAAGCCTTTCAAATGAAATGTTCAAAGGTGGCTTTCTGTAATGGACTATTAGGTAAGAAACCTTTTAATTTCGAAGCGGTGCGCAGTATAAGAAAAGACTGACAATAAATACCACGTGTTGATTGTTTTGGACAAAGATTTTGACACCAAAATTTACTCAATAGCTTGAGAACATAACATTTCACACGGTCGGCGTCGATTTTCACACGTTCAGCGTGGAAAAAGGCAAACTGAAAATTATGTGATATCCTCGTCAATTTCTGTTGTATTTGCACGAATGGGAAATAATAATGACCCTAGCAATTTATTTTGGACAACATACGGAAACTGATTGTGCCACGTAAAAGACGAATATTTCTCCATTATAAATCAATGACTGCAATTAACCTAAGGCAGGTTTCCTAGAACAGTAATCTGTCAGAGCATTTCGTAAGAGTAATGCACACAGAAGATGGCTATTTCGCAAGACAATTCAATTTTTATTATTAAACGAACCCAAAACAACAACTAAAATACAATGAATTTAAGCAATACCAATAACTTAATGCTAGATTGCCAGAAAAGGAAAACCTAAAAGTCTAAGAAGCTTATTTTTACATCGTGCAAATTAAAACTTTCTAAAAGAAACAGACAAACTATACACTTCGGTTTTTTATTGAGGTATTAAGTCCGTTAAAGAAAATCGCCTCGTGTTTACTGGAAACAAAAAGGCAAACAGTTTCTTACGCGTATTGCAGTCCAGCCTTCAGGGCAAAGTATGGCCAGGCGGTGTGACTCCTTGTCACATCCTGGGCTCCCGGGCTTGTAGACAACTTTTCCCTTGGCTGTGTGATGCTTCCAGGGTGAATAACTCCTCTGACAGAGCTTTCAGTGCCAGGGATTGAGAAGCGAGGAGGTTCTAAGTAATAAGGTGGTGTTTTAGGCGACAGGTAGCTATTCCAGGACGGGACCTCCGACGGTCGGACTGGAAAAGGCGCAATGTAACTCGCCGAAGCGTTACCAGGTTTCGCGACGTGCTCACTGGCGTATCCATGCTTGTCAATACCATAGCGCGGTGGGTACATGGCGCTCTTGTACTCCTGTTGCATCGAATGGCTGAGGTATCCAGAGGACGCGGGGCGTGCGTTGGGGTACAGCGCAAACGGTTGGCAGTAGCCGTCGCTCTGTGCAATCTCACTGCTCACTGGCTCCATGCGGTTTTTTCTTCGGGGCCTATACCTGTAGTTCGGATGATCAATCTTGTGTTGACGCCTCAGGCGAATGGCCTCTTCTATAAAAGGCTTTTTCACGTCGTCAGACAGCTGCCTCCATTCTTCACCCAGGATCTTGCTGATTTCTGCGTTGCGCATTTTAGGATTGTCCCTGTTCATTTGTCGTCTTCGTTCCTTGGCCCAAACCATAAAGGAGTTAAGCGGTCGCTTGATGTGAAGGTCATCGTGCGCTGTCAGATGAAGATCCATGTTGTTCGTCTCTGCTAGACCGTACTGTACGCTAAATTAGCGGCGAATGAAGCATTTAACAAACATATTAGCCCTTTTATCGGAAATCTGATTGTCTTCTGATTGATTTGAATTAACAATGGACTGAATGCATATGCTAGTTAAAGTTCTTATTGTTCAGGCACGTTCGCTAAAAGCTTATCTTTTTGTGTCTTTCACAATTTATTTATTTTTGCAATCTAAGAGAGCTAGCTTTTCAGAATGAATCATATCTAAATTATTTTGTCAAATTTTAATAAGCGAAAGGATGTTTATCTAAACTTTCGTTTTCCATATTGGGAGAAAGTCTTAATGCAGAGTACCATAACAAACAATTACTTTTAGCAAAGTTCTCGCTACCTTCTTGATTACCGAAATATAAAGGCTGTTCCGCAAATGCATCGTCGCTTTTTAACAATGTGGTTAAAACACGCCGCTCGGCATAAAAAGTCTAATATTAATTTTAAATAACATGAAAAGGTCATCTTCTCGAAGCCGCCCGAAATTGTTATGCGCGGTGCACTCCCCATATACTAGTCTTTGGGGTATGACCGAAATGCCAAAATCAATAAAATGTCTAAATTGCATTTTAATAATTAAGAAATCTATAAAAGTGGAAATTAAGGTATGTTTACTTTTTTAATCTACAGATATAAAGGCTGCATCAGCTGCATGGTCTTTGCTTTGTTTTTGAAAATTTTGTCTTGGCTTCCGTCCTTTGTTGGTCCTATCATCGATTCAAGTTTCTGTTGTGAGGGTTTTCTGTCATTTGCCGCCGTTTTTAGCTTGCAGTTTTGATATAGAAGATATTTAAAAGCAATACATTTTACACATATCAATGTGATCGTGGCAGCCTAGAGGTGAAATTCGCAAAAAATTACAGAGTGATAATAACGTTTATGCCATTTATACCACAAATGCTTACTGTGTAAAAGTGAAGTGTATTGTCGCGCCACGCGCGTGTATTGACCCTGACACGCGCTATGCATGCTAGAGGCAACTCAAAACTTTAATAGACCTATACGGTGCTTTTGATTATTCAAGACAGACCCGTCAGACACTGGTGGTAAAAACCCATTAAAGAATCGCACGAGAAATTAAAGTCGGTACAGTAGAAACTGTCAGAGAAATTTCCTATATCACCTGCGCTGAATCCGGTTTCATTTCTTCGACTGAAATTCTGGTTACTACTTCCAGACAAATCTCGATCTAAACTTTGGAACTTTTTGGCATAATCAGTAGTAAGCTGGCCGTTTTTCAATTTGTAGCAGCTAAGACTGAATTAGAACGCCGATACGTGCGTGTGTTTGCACGTAGAAAGATTCCCCTGCAGTCTTGAAAAGACTATTGTAAGAACCGTTAATTTTATGCTCACGAGGCAAATTGGTCAAGTGACCCGAAAGTCGAAACGTCCACAGAAATATCGCCAGAACGCCTGAGTTAACTTACACTTGGAAACCTGGCCACGAAGCCACGAAAATTGAGCAGTTGTCGTTCTTAATACCTAAATAAAGGAATAAACATGGATCATGAGAGTGACTATATAGTCTTGTACAGCAATAACTAGGCGAAATCAATAACTCCGTACCATGAAGTTCCTTGCTTGCTAGCTAGCAGTTTACTGCCGCGAGATTAAGAAACTGCTGTATTATTTGTAGACTAGCCAGCGGAATTTGAGCGTTTGACGGCATTCCCTGTCGCTTTTATTCCTAACTATTTAGCTCTACTTCAGCGTAAAAAATAAGGCAAATTTTTCGTTGATTGGCCTAGGGTTCTTTGAGAGAGTTTGTCTGGACTAACTTTCGGTTGAGTATGTAATTATTTATTTGCTATATTTGCACATCGTGAGAGAACCCAGATGAGGTTATCAGTTAGGCAGTAGAAAACTAACTCGAACTAGGGGGTGATTGAGGCTGTGTCGGATTTCAGTGTCGTCTGAGCCTGGGGCGAGCACTTTTGCTCACCTCTCACTAGACATTCGCTTCTAGTGCGCGCGCAGCGGGGATACGGATGCACCCGTTGCTACTCGAACCTGATACCAGAAGAGGATATCGAGACATCCTAATTTGCAGGCCATGAAACATGGTTCATGGTGAATATATGAAATAGATTCATTCTGTTGAAAACGTCCGAGTAAGCTGCTGTTGACATGGAGCCGGCAGTAACAACGCAGTAACAGCAGTTTCTTCTCCGAAATCTTGGAACATTTCAAAGTTATTTTTTTTCAAAAGTCTAGCAAATTGATGTATTGGAAATGTACTAAACTTTGAACAATAAAAATAATAGCCTTAGCTTTGTAGTTTTACTTCTCTTTTGCAAATTTCTTTCACTTAATCTTGTTAAATCCTGATTCTCAACAATTCCAGCGATTCCAACCGCAGAGAGCGGTTCCAAAATCATAAAACACACCTTATATACGTTTCGCCTAAGATATATCATCCCATTTTGTAATTCTTATCTGATTCGAGACCCATATGCGGCCCTATTTAGTAAGGGTTGCGACGGTGAATTCATGGTCTCCCAAAGATTTACTTATCATGGACAAAGATAACCAGCAAACATGAATAATTTTTAATGTAAATAGTCACCATTTCCTTAACATTTACTACTACAAGTGCACTATTAATAAAAATTCTGTGGCTTGAAGAAGCAATTACGTCTACGTTGTTTGTCTTATGGGCTAAAGGCGGTCTGCTTTTCCACCAACTTTAAAGAATATATGAGTGTCAGTGGTCTTTGATAATCCCCTTTATGTTTTTTGCGGGCGACAAAGGCCGCAATCCTAATCTCCAGGTTGTTATTACGCATGCGTCGCGTTGCCGTTTGGACTTCTACTAAATGCCCATAGCGCAATCTGATCACGCGTGTTTTGACTATTTGTCATGTGAAACTTGCGCAAAGCACAGCGATGGAGCAAAAGCGTTTTGACCTTCGATAGTTGTCGCCCGCAATTCGTAACCTTTGGTTATTACTAGTAAGAAAAGCAAAAAAGAGATAATGGGGTGACCTTTATCATTAACAGAATCAAAAGCAAGAAGGAGAATTCTGGAAGAAGCAGCCTGTCGCTGTTTTCCAGGACTTCTCGTCACTTCTCTTCTTGAGTTAGTGTTAGCCACGGCTAAGCATGCAACTATTTCATCTTTTCTATGGCCTAACTATGAAAAATGAAAACCCCACTTTGTCTAAATAGATACTGCGTTTGAAAAACCTCCTCATATTCATACACCTCAGCACCCAACATTAACAGATGTTCGCCCCCTGGGGTCCTTAAGATCAATTGGATCCTCCTGGCTGCAAGCGTTTGTTTGTAAGGACGTTTCTTCCTGGAGTGGTTATGTCTGTGGTAGACGTGGTTGGCGAATTGTCACCACCTGGAATTACGAGATATTTGCGAGATATTAAGCATTGTTGGGTAATTTCCCCCTATTTCTCCCCCTTCCGGCCCTTTCAGAACTCCCACCACCCGCTCTTTCCTTTACCTCCTCCGATACCCCTTCCGTCCCTTTTCTTCAAACCTCCCAACTCCAACCCTTTTCTCCTTGGCTTCCTCCCATACTCCTTTTCAATTGCGAGATATTAAGCATTGTTGGGTAATTTCCCCTTATTTCTCCCTCTTCCTGCCCGTTCAGAACTTCCACATCTCGCTCTTTTCTTTACCTCCTCCGATACCCCCTCCGCCTCTTTTCTTCCGGGCTTAATAAGCCCCCTGTCCTCATACACTTTTTGACAAAATTACAAACACTCAGTAAAAAAAAAAATGACTAAGAAAGAGGGATTTCGAGCATCGTCCCTTTTAGATCAAAATAGAGAAGGCCTTTTTCTAAGTTATTCACTTCAGTGGTATTTTGAAAGAAAACCCAAAATACTGAAGATTTTCATTTATATAAGGATGAACAATAAAAAAAGATGAACAACCAAAAATCAGCCCCACCCCACCCCACCCCACTAACCCTTTCCATATGACACAGAGTTGACGATGGACAAAACTCAAAGCTATCACCACTTGAGCATAAACTCGTTTGCAGTGCTTTCGAACAGTCTGTAAGACTTGCGGGGATTTCGATTTAAGACGCAATAGGCTACGAAATTATTAACCCATAAGACTGCGTAGCCTCAGAAAACAGCCGACATTTCACGACGCCACTACTGGGTTCCCTGCGAAATGACGTCTGAGAAAAGAGCGCAGAAATTCCATACTTATGACGCGTCACTACCCAAATCTGGGAGGTGCGTCTGATTGGCTAAAAAATTGCCTCAACCAATCAGAAGCACTACCCTTATCTGGGTAGTGACGCGTCATCTGATTGGTTAAGGCAAATTTTTAGCCAATCAGATGCACCTCCCAGATTTGGGTAGTGTCGAGTCATCAGTATTGAATTTCTGCACTCGTTCCTCAGACGTCATTTCGCAGGAACCCCAGTAGTGGCGTCGCGAATGTCGGCTGTTTTCTCAGGCTAAGGCGCATGCTTGATGTTTCTTACTTGCGGCAGTGGCGTCAACGTCATCATCATCTTCCTCATCTGTAAGTGGTTCATTTCCTCTGATGGTTGTCGGGGTGGAGGCCACCTTATCTAACAAAATAACAAAACGCAGATTTTTATGCACTTTCCTGTGTAACTCACAAAGCAATTTGTCACCAGAAGAAGCAATATTATTAGGGCACAAACCTTTTTTTGACGGGCTGGTTGGAGGTGGCGTGTGACAGAATGGGTAGGTGTTGTGTCAATTTCAATACAGTGAAACTGTTTCTTGGGACACTTTTACTTCTAATAGTCATTTCTTGGTTGCGCGGGAAATTTCTCCCTCCCCTCCCCGACACTTAGAACTAGACACATCACCGCAACCTAAGACAACCTTGTTCCCAGGGCCTTTCCCTTGGAATATGGTAGGGAGGGAAAAAGAACTGGGAATAAGTTTGAAATGAAGGGATCACCGCCACCATATAAAACACGAAAAATATCGTGGTCGCGAGAGAGTAGGCGCGGAAGGGTGAAATTACGGCTGTCATAACCTTTATCAGCAGGTTCTGCCTTTATCAATAGTAATAAAATTTCTTACTGATGCATCCTCTTATTGGCTCACAGCGTGTTTGGCCACCCTGAAAAAAAAAAATGTTAACGTCTGAAATTGATCAAATTGACCAAACTTCGAAATGCAATATCTTTTAAAGCAACTTTTCTTTCCAAATAACTTTTTCGCTGTTTTGCTGACGTTCTCGGAATAAGAATAAAAAATAACTTTATCGATAATTACTGATAACGTAAGTTTCCTCGAATATTGTGTGTTTTCACATGACGCTATGGCGGCCATATTTGTGTCCCAAAACAATGAAACGGCGGCCATAGTTGTGTCCTAAAACAATGAAACGGCGGCCATGTTTGTGTTCCAAACCAGTCATGTGGGAGTTGAACTCTTTTCTTATGTAAACGCTTTCTTTCCTTCCAATAAATTTGCATAAATGCTGGCCACGTGAGTGAAAACACAGAATACGTACCTGACAGTGGCAAATTTCACACGGCTCTTTTCGCCAAGAGGTTCCATTTGGTTTAAATTTGGAGTCAAAGATACATCCTTGACTATTAATACTCTGCTTCCAAACTTCAACGGAGACGAGCTAAACCAAAAAAGCAATTTTGTGAGTAATGAGTAAATTACAATAAACTTATACCTATTCAATACACCACCTTGCAAATAATTACAATCCCGCGTTAAATCAATACACCATCGAGCCAACCAATATACCTTCGCGGTATACGTCACCTTGCGACACCCCGATTACCTCCCTTAATACGTAGTCTGCGTACCAAGCATTTGAAGGCCAACGCGGGGTCCCTTTACTTGCTCGCTTATTAATTTCTACTTTCCTTCCTCTTCAATCGCCTGCCACGCGGCTACCACAACAATCATTACTTTCAAGTGCGCGAAGCAGGAGACGGAGACGAGGGCGACTATGCTTCCTGCTCCGCTTAAGTTAAATAACGCCAAGCTACACCGCTAGTTGACGGTAAATAGAGTCTCTCCCAAGTCTTTTGTTATTAACAAATACAGCGGAGGAACACCAAGATTTACGATTAAACTTCTCTTGCAGGGAGCAACGCCTTCTTTCAGAAGGAATAGCTTTTTTAAAAAACCTTAAAAGGTTCTAGCAAGCTAAAATAGTATACATTTATTGAACTCAAGGCCTTTTAATGTTTCGAAATATTTCATACGAGAAACTGAGGAGATTCCTATAGTCCACAAATCTACTGAAAGGTGGTATTGTTAGGTAACGTTTTTTCCTTGATAGACCAGCTGGGTTTCGATATTTTGCCAGAATTCGAAAGATAATGATACATTGCATTTTCTTATTAGCTACCTGTTCCTTTAGGTCTTGAACGGTTTGCCACAATGTCTCGAACTCACTACAAGTAGGACAGTCTGGAAGAAAAGACACAGAATTACAATGAAAACATGTCCGACATTTGTACATGTAAAACAATTTCTCACCTGGGAAATGCAATCATTTCAACAGTTTTTGCGACAGATGAGGTAAGAAATTTCATTTCGCATAGGCCAATTCCGAGTTCCAAAAACCCTCACTTTCAAAATGAGGCTAGGGGCACAACCTTTCTTGTGAAAATGAGTTTTATTTGCTTGAGAATGAAAAATGATTTCCATATCAAAGGCTGAGCACCTACCCTCGTTTTGAAACAGAGGCCCGGGAGAACTCGGGACACTCACAAAGAAAAGCATAGTTTTTGAACACCGTACTGCCAAATAACTTAGAACAGTAAATTGAAAACGAAAGGCCCCCTTAAGAGGGGCTGTTCAAATCCCGTACCACTCATCCCTTCAACTAAGACTTTGAAATCCGGTATCCCGTTAATTTCAATGCTTTCTGCTTTCAGAGACTCATGGGAACGTCATTTAAATTTCGGGAAACAGGAGGATTCAGTTTCCTTGTAAGAGACTATCTAGGTGGCTCAATCTTGTCAATATTTTACACATAAAGAGTTAAAAAAAATCCCATTCGCGAGTCTTTTTCTCTAGTTCTGTCCTACTTCTTATCAACCACTGAAACTCGTGTTCAATCAGAAGAGGTTTATTTGACATTAATTCGATATCCCACAATCGCGTCTAAATACAAACTCCATTACCAATCTCGTTCCCAGGGTTCTCTGCTACCCGTCCCTACGGAGCGAGAGACAGGACGGGTAGAAGAGAACCCTGGGAACAAGGCTACCCCATTTCCAATTTTTTTCCCAAACATCCCGTATCCCTATTGTTTTTCACTTGAGTCTCGCATCCAAGTACACCCTGATAAGCCCTTTCTGTTTAGATACATCATTGCTTACTTGCCAGTATCTAAACATCCCCTACCACATTAATTTCCCCCAAATATCCCGTATCCCTCTAATTTTTCAAGTAAGTTTCCCAGTAATCCCTTATAGACCTTCTCTACAGACACATCACAACTACTAGACCCCGAAAGACTTTCGATCAGATTGCAGTTTGTATGTTGGATGGCAGGTGCACTGGTACGACCCCGGCGTATTTGAGCAGTTATCCCGTATTCCTATAATGTTCTTCACCTTAATATCCTATGACCGAGTGACCTCTGAGAGGTCCTCTATAGTCACATAATTACTACTCATGACCGCTAGTCTTCCATCTGATTTTAGTTTGTATTTTGGGTGGCAGGTGCACTGGTAATAAGATCCAGGCCCATTGGTGTAGTTATATGTATGCCCATATTTTCACCAATATCCCACTTTTTCCTAATAACCCTCCATAGACACAGGATTTCTACTTACGCCCGCAAGACTTTCCGTCAGATTGTATTTTAAAAGTTGGATGGCAAGTGCATTGGTAAGACCCGGGCGTGTTGGTGCAGTTATGTTGGCAGCCTCCATTATCCTTTAATTAAAAGGAAATAAAAAGGTTAAACTAAAACCCATTTGGTACTACAGTAGTAACTCCTTATATTGTTCTATACAGTACTTTAGGATCTGTGTACCGAAGTGAATGCTTTCCGAGGGTAAAGTGAAACGATGGATGATATAGGCGGCCTTTGCAATTGTTGGTGCTGGGGGTATGGGTGCTGTGCTATTAAGTTTAAGAAGGTGTAAATTTTCATTGGTGGTAGCCTATACTGTACATTTTAATGAAAATTAAAATTTTAAACTCATCGCCAATTGATAAGCTTGGGAACTGGTGCCTTAAAAGTTAGCGGGGAAGGGCCCGAGGTAATTCAGGCACCGCAGGGAGGTCTCCATAGCAGCCGCTAACAGGCACCATCACACTGAAACTAGTCCAGTGGAAATACTTACCTAACCCGATACTTACCTCTGAAATCAAGTAACCCTCTGGGAAGGGAGGATAGGGCTAATGAATCCGCAAAGATTCGCTCACAAAAGCATTGATCGCAACGATCGCTAAAAAGCAAGGCTGTACGAAGTAAGCCCCTGCGAACTCCAAAGGGGCGCCCCCACGGATCATGTGCAAACTGGGCGAGACCGCTGGCAGCATTAGCTCGAGATTAACCTTGCCTAAATTACATTTAGCCACATGTAAAATATTTTAAGCATTATTATATAATGTTATCAAACGCGTGTTCCTCAAGTTTTGGTAGCCAGGGAGATAACTAAATTGAAGATTATTTTTTTATTGCTAGTTTTCACCAAGCCTGGAATTTGCCATATTTATTATTTATCTGAAACAGAGACGTTTAAAAAACAAAGTGGGGTGTGGTTTGGTTCCTACCGTGAGACACTCGTTGATGTCCACACAGCGTGTAGGATCTGTACTATGAATGACGAATCCCGAGTTACAGGAGCATCTGAGGGAAAATGAATCGGACAAACAATGCTGGAAAACCAGTTATACATTTTTCAATATAAACACTAGTCAAGAGTGTTTGCTTTCTGTTTAATGCCTTCTAGAGAATGTTTTTTGTTTCGCTTTGCCTTGTTTTGTTTTTTCATTTTCTGAGATCTAAAAACAAGCACCTTCGCATTCAAAACATTAGAGACATTTAGATTCGAGGACGAGAACGACTACGACTAAGAGATTTGATTTATGATTTAAAGTATTTTTTCTCGTATTGTCCAAAAATAGACACCCTGGAAAGCTTTATTGTGCTTTTTTAAACAGAAAAGTTGGCACTGGTATCTTTATAGAAGGAGGTTAACCCCTCTCCCGGTCTCAAAATGATATACCTTCTAACATTTGATAACTTATTTCCGCCACTACGACATTCTCGCAAAAATTCGTAAATAACCAGATTCTATTGCTCAAAAGGAGGTTTGTGAGCCCGTGAGACTGAGCACTCCCACCCAAACCTTGTTTTCTCTAAAACCGCTGGGCACCTGCCACCTCCTTTTGAGCTATGGAATGAAGTCTCTACCTAAAAATTCGTAATAGCTACCACGTTTTCCCGCCAAAATGACGCTGGCTCACACGCGTACACTACTTAGCATTGAGGAAATCTCGTACTCGAAGTCGTCCTCGTATTAGAATCTAAAGGTTCCTAATAACAAAAGCTGCAAAATTTGCCTCAAAAGGCAATTTGCACCGCATGACCAAGATTTCTCTTTAGTTGTCATTTACTACTATATTTATACAAAAATAAGTGGCTCCATGCCTGTTTCATCCAATGGAATTATTTTCGGCCATTTTTTATCTCCTTAGTTCCTCATTTGACAATTTGTCAAACTGAATCTCACGTTTTCCGTTTCCCGTAAAAGTGACTTCCACAATAGATAATAAGTTAAAATGGTCTGAAAAGACCTTAGTAGATGTAAACTAAAGCGGAGGGAGCTTTGAGGAAAGTATCACCGGACTTAAAACGATATCATTCGATAAATAATTTCAGTTAAATAAACACCTACACAATAGTAAAAGGAGCAATAATAGAAACGAGATATAAAGAAAAAAAAAACAACAACAACAACAACACAAACTCAACGTTTATTCAATCTCACTCACGCAAAGCTTCCAGGGTTGTTTTTGCAGACTTGTTCGCAGCCTCCATTCGCAGTCTCACATTCATTTATATCTGGCATAAAGGAATAGAATTGCCAAAAAATAAAAATGGTTACCGTTCACTGATACATAGATAAAGCCACGTGCCTTGAAATAGGACATAATTAAACACCAGTTGTGTTATTAAACACTAACAAACGATATTGGGAGCAGCAAAAATTGGCACAGTAGATTAGAGCGCGGCCTTCTGTCCGGGAGTTTCCTAGTTCGATTCTTTGGTGTAACCTTAGACTACGAGTAGTCCCCATTACTCCTCAGGGACAGTAGAGCGAGCGAAACGCGAGCGCGCGTGAAAATCACCCCATGCGAGAAAGCCGCCTTTCCCGCCTTTCTCGCTTGGGGACTACTCGTAGTCTAGTGTGACCACAAATCCTTGTTTTGACTTCTTTCCTTTCCGTGTGGTAAAAGTAGCCTTAAATAGTTGTAAAATAATGCACTGAAACAGGGGTCTTTTTTGCGTGAGCATGCGCGACCGCTGAACAAGCGATGTGCATGGAGGCTCACCACAGGGATGGCTTCATCAAAATGGCGCGTCTCAAAGCTATCATAGCGATTATTTTGCTCGTTGGTCTTGGCGAATGTGCTCGTGATTTAAAAAAATGTGTAGTTTGCAAAAAAAACTCTAACATGGTCTTAACAAAAGCGAAGTAGACCGGCTTTAACATACACGAGCTACTATCAAATTTCATCTCCCCACTTGACCTGGACAACAGCGCGCGTATATGTAGTGCCTAGAGGATTGCGCTGACCTCATCAAAGTCTAAACAAAGTCCAGAAACGTTTGTTGATGCAAGTGAACACTTTCAATTTTCTTTGTTTTGAAATGGGAAAGGAAGAGAAATATTTAAAAAAAAACATAGCAAATTTTAGCGAGTGGGTTCGAAGTGCGCGAAAGCCGATGTTCAGTTCAGCAGTGAATTAATATATGTTCTACAATTTTCCCAGCACTTTAAAGCTACAAAATTAAGAGCACACGAGACGTAGATTAGGCACCTGGTGAGATGTCGGTGGTAGTCACTCTGTATGTCTCGAACAATAAAAAATAATGAATATCAACGAGACACAGTCAAAACTGCATTTAATAGGACCGAAATTAAAGTCCATTCTTGTGACCGATTTTGATGAAACAAACGGATAGGTTTCCCAAGAAGTACAGTAAACATGTGATGCCGACCAAAAGTTAAAAATCATTAGAACATTTAAGTTCTGGCTAAAAGCAAATTCCTGTAAAAGATGCGTTACAATGTTAGTCCACGCGAAAAGAAGAAGTTCTACAATTTTCCTATAAACAAACTTTGCATCGCTAAAATACTTAAGGCAAAAACTTTCTATTCCAACTGAAAACGGCGTGGTAGTCGCCCCAGGGGGGGTACTCGGGATTTCAAGTGAGGGGGATGATCGAATGGAGCCAAAAGTCAAGACGCAAAAAAATCCCTAGGGCTTCCAGCAAAACTCCCAAAAATCCCTGGACCAAAAATGCAGACTATTGTATAACACGTGCGATGTAAAGCGAGACCATAGTTAACTATTAAAGACCCCTCATTAAACAACAGCAAAACACGTTTGTTTGTACTTTACTCGCAGAACTACGCAGCCAGGGCACTACCGATTCTTTTTAATACGCCCAAAAAATCCTTACTCAAATCAAGGTACCCAAAAAAATACTTGCCAAATTTTCGTACCCAAAAAAATCCCGGAATCGAAAATTTCAAACCCCAAAAAATCCTTTGATCATCCCCGTCACTTGAAATCCCAAGTACCCCCCCCCCCTGGGGTAGTCGCCCGCTGATCGTTATTAATCCACTCCCGAAATATGGCTAAATCAGCTATTAACAAATTATTGACCGAAATCCTCTACGGCATCGAGAAACTGATTTACATCCGATTTATAGACAAACACTAAATAAAGAACATTTTGCTCAACAGCCACGCATCAGCAATGCATTCTATGCCAAACTTTGCCGTTCTTAAAGGGGAAGACACGAGTCGAGCGCCAAACAACAACAAGCAGCCATGTTCGTGTCAGACATCCTTGAGAAACTTGCTCTTTCACCTCGTTCAGCGCATCAGTCTCCACTTTAAATAAACAGATCTTTACTTATTTTGAACAACGAAGGTCTTTCCTAAGTTCCTGCTACCATTTCAATCTCAAGCAAGCTTTCAAAGTGAACAATTTGGTTCCTATGACTACGCAGCACGGTCGCTGTCACTGGTCGCGTGCTCTTTGACAAGTAAGCGGTCGCGCATGCTCACGCAAAAAAGACCCCTGTTATGCACTAATGGGAAGAGGAAAGGTAAAATTTACGCAAAATCGGCCTTAGCTTTGTCAGTCAAATGATAACTGTAACTAGTTATCGACATAAGATAGAGCAATTTTCGTATGACCTTGAAAAATGGTTTTGGTAAATGTTCGTTATTTATTTTATCAGCCAATGGATGAAAAGACCAAAACAGGGACTCTTCGTTTTCCCGCCAAAGAAAACCCTTATATAGAGAAGGCATTGTTCGATTTGCCAATCGTGTTGCAGTATGATGTCAAAGCGAAGTATCAATTGATTTCTAGAAATTTTAAAAGTTCTCGCTTCACCAGTCAAAATCACGCGCGTTTGTATCCGTTCGATAACCCAATCAAATCGCGCTATTTCCGTTCGTTTGTTGTTTCTGTTTTGTTCGTGCGTTTTCATTTCGAGGTCATACTAAAATCGCTCTAAGGACCTTTGTCCTCACTCGAAAGTGCAGGATCTGTATTTTGTGTGCTGAGACATACCTTGACAGGTACAGTTGCTGACGGCCGTGTAACCCGGGTAACAGGTACAGTTGTAACTCCCTTCTGTGTTGACACAACCTTGGTTACAACATGCAGTGTCTAGCAGACATTCGTCGATATCTGATATGTGAAAGGACGATTATTCAGATGTCGACTGGCAGAAAAAGGCGGATTTACAGCTCAAGCAAATGAAAAACGGCCAACGAGATCAAAAGGGAACACAGTAGTAATGGTAATGGTGGAAGAATTAAAAACCTTGACTGCTGTACTCCCTAGCCCTGTGGCGGATACTCTGAGATCTGTCAGTAGGTTTTGACACCCAAGGGTTTGCCACAGCAAAACAGACTCTTAATTCAACGTAAGTTCTAAAATTATTTACCTCTACACGTCGAGCCATCTCTTAACAGTTTGAAGCCATGACGGCAGGCACAAGAATAACTGAAGGTGAAAAAAAGAATGATAATCAAAAAGGGCTAGCGAATGAGCTGACGGGGCAACTGTTGCGCATGCACGTGGGTACCAGCCAAAACGTTCGAGTTCAACAAAGAGAAGGCTAAGTCAAGGCTGCATGACTTTGAGCTCTTATATTAGACGTTTATGACTCATTGCCTTGAACGTAAGAATGAGGCATGTGACAGCCGTAACATATCATCAACCACGGAGATTCCCATTTTCATCATTTAAAATGCTTACGGACACCTCTCTTTTACAGAAAGTTCTCTTTTGTCCCAAAGACACCAAAATTCATACATTTCCTTCTTGTATAATGTGAACACCTCCGTTATGCGGACACCTTGTCCTTTCCCTTAGGTATCCGTATTAAGGAGGTTTGACTGTACATTCAAGGTGTCCGTATTATAGAGGTCGGTAGAACGCTTGTTGAACAAGCGTTCTACCGACCTCTACAATACGTGTTGTTTCGAACCCGCGAGAGGTCTCAGGTTCGGACCAACAATCAGGGTCTCCGACTGCTCTTACCAGCAGACGGCAAGACCTTCGTCTGACTTGGATCACCAATCAGAAATGGCTTTCCGCTTTCCACAAGGAGACGTAAAGAATAGCGTCCTCAGTTCGTACGTTCGTGTCAAATACATCGGCACTCAAATAAAGAGCGGTTCTTTTTTTCATCTAAACTTTTTAAAAAACCTTTCTCCTATAAACATTTTAAAATGACATCCAACGAAAATACATCGAAAGTTGACACAAACGCACTCGATTACCTTCCATTTTCGTTAACGCATCTGTGATCGCAGCCTCCGTTGTTGTCCAAACACTCGTTGACGTCTAATGGAAAATTTAAAAAACTCTATTTTAGTTAAGTCTCGCTGAGCTTTGTACTCAGTAAAGTGATGCATGCAGACTACATGTCTTAACGTCCTCCACACAAAAGGGAAAAGAGATTTTAAGACAAATGATGAGAGTTATTTACAAGGATCATGATAGAGTGCGCTAAATCAAGTGGCCTAGTTCCTGTATCTGACGCATTGACGATGGCTGTTTTAAATGGACGGTTACAGGTGTTCCATACAACATGGGTTAAGGTAAATTCGTTAAAGGCGAGCCTGATATGGGGTTGAACAAGTCTTTCTGACGTATTAAGCATGATCGAAGGGTAATAAAACGCAACTTTCGTCACTTTAAGTTATTTGCAAGTTAAACTCCTATCGGCTGGTAGATAAATTCAAATACTCTACCTTTACAATGATGGCCATCCAAAGCCAGTTGATAACCAGCAGGACACGAACACTGATAACTTCCGATGGAATTAACGCAGCCTCTTTCGCAAATGTTTAGTTTACATTCATCGATATCTAGAGAAACAGAAACCAATAAAATTTTAAAGATTATTTTGCAATGGTAATAAGTGTTGGTTAGATAATGGTAGGTAGTGACGTAAGTGCTATCCTATCTAAAATTAATAAGAAGATAAATGGAAACGTAGAACAACTGCCTCGGATCCACTGCCTCTCGCTCATCGCGTCTCGTCGCTGAGATCGTTTTGCGAGAGAAAAACGTCCTTAGGCGGCGGCCAGGAGCAGTGAGAGGCAACTGAATTTGCAGATTTTAAACTGGTGTCCACGAGGGGCTTAACTTATTTTAGCCGAAACATTTGTGTAACTATATATCCTCTTATATTACCTACTTAGTAACTCTATTTGTACACGACCCCTCAAACTACCAAGCTTTACTCCTCATCGTGTTCAAATTACGATTTTGATTGATTGATTTCTTTAGGAGGTCGCATCCCTTAGTTAAAAACTAAAGATTACAAGACTCTGTGCAAGAAAAAAAAAAGGTTCTTCCACATACCAGAGCATGTCTTGTTGTCCGCTTGAAGAGCAAAGCCTTTTCTACATTCACAACGAAAGCTAAATGAGAGAAAAAGAAAGAATTCTTATTACGCAAAGAAAAAATATGATTCTACGCGGTTCGCGTTCCTTATTTCCCAGACTCTTGCTGGATGACAAGTTAGTCCATGGCTGATTCCGTCACAGGGCAGGGCACTTTGGTGAGCTGGGTCTTGAAAGATCGGATGTGAGCTGATGATTTGATCATCTAAGTCAAACTGTGCAATGTTGATTCTAGTAAGGCCTCTTATACAGCTCAAAAGCTTTAAGGTATAAGCAAACTGAAGTACATGAACTGTTTTGTTTACTAACCCTCCAGGAGTGTTGTTGCAAATCTGACCGCATTGATGCACTTCGGGCATGGCACATTCATCAATGTCTGCAATCATATGTTAGTAGCACAAACTTATTAGTTCGGTAAATTCCGCATTCCTTAATTCTGCATGACTATTCAAACGGTAACACTGCCCTTATGAAAGAGTTTTTAAGGTCCTTTGGAGTATAACTTTACACCCAAATAGAAACTGCGGTGATTTCACTGCTATTGTTGGTATTATTGCTGGAGTTTTAATACATATACGCTCTTTCCCTTACCGATGCAGTCCTTCCATTGTGATAGGTAGCCATCAGGACACTGGCATGTGTAATTTCCAGGGGTGTTTTTACATCTGGCAAGAGGGTCGCATTCGTGAATTTCTTCAAAGCATTCATCTGTAGTAAGGAATGGAACAATGTTGAAGCAATAACTAATTGAATCATGGAAAAAAAATCATCTCGAAATTCTGTTGTATAACATATCGAAATAGCAGCAACATTGAACTGTATCTACAACTAAAGAGCTAAAATTCATTTGTCCCTTGAGTCATTCAAGTCATTAACTCCTCATAGTTTATTCCATGACTCAAGAAAATAGTCCGTGGCGGGTCTAAGTGTTCGAAAAAACGACAGTTCAGGGAAAGCTAGCAGCACGCTCCTCCAGAAATTTAAAAACATGTCAGTTTCAACTATTCGTTGGGGTTAATAAATAGTCACTTTATTGCTAAAAGTCAATCCGAGCGAACGTCGCTCCATTTTGCGGTATTTTTCAATACGTATTTCTCGTAACTGCACTGGTTTTAGACCTTAGCAGATTTAGCTTAGGTGGTTCGACAGTAGCTCCACTAGGCTTTTGTACATTATGCTTTTGCGTCCCTACTAAAATGCTCCACCTTAATGCTCCATTTTTGCCACTAAAATGCTCGGTCTTTCCCAAAAAAGTCATTAAAATGCTCGGATAATGCTCATTATATAAACGGTTTTTTTTAAATTAATTTAAAAGCTTACTCTTACAAAAACGTGCAAGTGTTGCAAGTAACAACGCAGGAGCTCATGGGGCATGGGCTCCTGAAAAAAGTTAATTTCTATTTTATTTTCTCGGAAAAATTAATTTTCCGGGGAAAATGCCACAAAAATGCTCGAATAATGCTCAATGCTTTTGCCTCACTAAAATGCTCGAAAAAATGCTAGCATAATGTACAAAAGCCTAAGCTCCACACTCACCAACCAATTGCTAATCAGTCTAATGGCTTTTCTTTGAAAAGGTTGAGAATAAAAAAATGCAATGCAGCAATTGACAAATGCAGAATGTTGGCTTGCGGAGTGGCAGGTTAACGCGACGAACAATGTAGAGAAATGCTCTGAAAACTACATGATAATCCTTAGACGTTGAAAAAAGTTTAAGCTCAGGCATACTAGGGCGCCAATGCAGTGTTCTAATCAATAACTTGACCTATTACCAGAACTCACCAAAGTCAATACAGATGACATCAGTACCATTGGGCCCTGAGTTGACATATCCATCAAAACAAGCACAGGAGTGGTTACCAGGTTTATTAACACACTTCTGAGAGCAGTCGCCATTGTTCACTTGACATTCATTAATGTCATGACAAGTAAGGCCATCATCGTTCAAGGAGAATCCCGCAGGACATGAGCAATGGAATGATCCATCTGTGTTTGCACAGGAGTACTCACAGTCGCCCTTCCCGTTGTTCTTAGCACATTCATTTATGTCTACGCAGTTACGCGATCTGGTAAGAAATCAAATCAAGATATTGTTCTATCAGTTATTTCGATCCTTTGCTTTTAATTTACACTTTGATTCAATTCTTTGCTATCATATAAGCAACATGGAAATAAATAATACAGTGGTTTGCTCAACTAGTAACTTTTAATTAACGGTTATTAGAAGAAATATACAGTGCATGCATGCAACAACCCTCGCCGAGGTTTTTTTCAACAAAAGTGCGTTTTTGTGCATGTGGAGCTTGGAGGAATGTGCCAAAATTCCGACGTAAGAGAGCCCTGCAATGCGGAAATTAAAGATGACGAACACCTCCTCATCGAACCAGAAACGGACAATTCAAATGAAATTATTTGTAAAATGCATCAAACTCAGAAGTGTGTGCAGACATGTTTTAAAAGCTGCCTAACGTAAAGGAAAAGGATTTCTTGGTCAATCTTGTTTCTTTTTCTCTTGCTTTTTTTCATGTATTTTTCTATTGTATTTTGAACCATTTGTGAAATATAACTATTGTAATTAATGCATTTCAAATTGTGCCTTAATAATTAATACATGGTTAATATGTCCTTACATCGATCGGGCTTTGGCGGTATCTGAGGCGACTGGTTGCCAAAAATGATTTGTTCGGTAAAGATAACTGTTTTTTCCTTGTGTCTGTAGGTTTTCATCTAAAGCGTATTTCTAATGAAATGCATTATATTAATTTACTTCAATTTAAAATCTAAAAAAGAATCAAAACATTGCCATAATTGTCTTATTAGGTCATATTACTTTGAGACGGTGCTCTTCAATTTATGATTGTTAGAAATGCTAGAGGTATTTTAACTCGTTTTTATGCATGTGAATATCATATTCTGAATTTAAAGAGGGAAAGGATACATTCGAAAAGTAAATTTCGGTATAACTTTCAAGCGGAAGTCCTATAGTTTTGAAAAAAAAACAAAAACAAGAAAAAAGACAAAAAAAACCGCTAGAAAACATCGAATCTTTGGAAATTTGGTGCCAAAACAAGCAAAAATATTATACAGCTAATAATTAGTGATGAGAGACATGTTGTTTCCTATTCACAGCTTAGACCACAGTTTTATTATATCCATTAATTCAACTAATCCATAAATTAAAGTCATCGTATGTCTCAATCATTTTTCGGCGACGTCGTTTTATCTTTTGACATTTCTCAGTGACATATGCCTTCACATGGTTTTGGACAACCACCATTTGGTAAAGATCAAGTTTTAAACCATTGTACACGGATGTTGCCACTTTAAGGAAAAACATTGTTAGCTAAGACTAAAGAGTTTTCTCGTCAGCCTCAGAAGACCGTGAAATTATCAGTTATTGCGATTATAGCTGCAGCTGTCGCTGGTCCTATTTGCTGAAAAAGACAGTATTTTACAGGATGAAAGTAGACCTCTTGCTTGAATTATTTTTGGAAATCTTGTAAAAGCTATTAAGATGAGAGGCTAAACACCCTCGGAGGTTTGTATGAACGATACATGTTCAAGTAGCTATAGACGATTTATTACAATCACAAAACCAAAAAAAAAAAAAAACTTTTACTACCTCAATTTTCCCTAATTCTTTTTTATTAATTGGCTGACAGGATCAATTAGCTTTGGAGGACATACGGTGAAGCAAAGTGAAACCTTTCATCTTTTCAACTTCCGAACGCTTTGCCACTTTTATTATCCCTCGACAGGATTGCTTTCTCTTATTGGTAAACCAAGAAAATACATTGAAATGTTTAATTATACGGCCTTGAAAAGTACACACACGAAGCCTTTTTCAATAACGTGAGTTGTAATAAACGACTATTATTGCTATGCAAATGTTCTGAGTAAAGAGCAAGTCAGGTTTTCCCGTTTCCCTTTTAAGAGAACAGTTGCGCAGCTAATCGCTGAGGGCCCACTACACAAGTAGTATCAAGTGGGTGCATTCTAGAAACAAATTTCTAACTTTAACGTGTGAAATCCGCTGTTATCAGCAATGGAACAAAGAGATGAATTCGAAGATTCAAGGAGCTTAACTGAAGTTATCATTCACACAGCGAATATCCTTACGACAACACTTGTTTCACTGGCAGGAAACTCTCTGATATTCGTCGCTTTGTACAGAAACAGAAGATTACGCACCGTCACTAACTTCTATGTGCTATCTTTGGCGATAGCGGATGTGATGGCAGCATTTTTATGCTTTCCTTTTCATATAGTTGCATCTGCTTTGCGCAGATGGCCATTCGGTTTTAATCTGTGCCAATATATAGGTTTTACTATACACTGCTGGGCCCAGGTGTCAATCTGCATCTTAACACTTGCGTCAATTAATCGATATTATTGCGTCACTAAGCCACAAAAATACCCAGTGTATTTCTCCAAAAAGAACACCATTCTGTCCATTCTTATAGTATGGATTGTCTCGTTTATCGAAACCTTGATTTTCGTTTTCTCGCTGCCAGTCATATACCGTTGGTCCTTTGAAAGTCTGTATTGCCGAGGAACGAATGACGATGAACGAATGGAGAAAATCTCGTACATTTTCTTTGGGTCCTTCTTTATCCTTCTCATGTCGTTGGTAATATTCTGCTATGTGAGCGTTTATCGCGTTGTAAGAAGGCACAACACTGCAATTATTCCATCTCTTCAGCAATCGTGGACGGGCCAGAGAATGATAACTGCTCAGGAGATAAAGACGTCGCGAATACTATTTGCTGCTGTCCTTGGATTTTGCGTCTGTTGGATTCCATTAATTGCTGAACTCTTTTTAGTCTTTGGCTGTGATATTTACATCTCATCCACCATACAGTGCATTTTTATGTTATTCACCTCTTTTTCTTCTTGGATTAATCCTATAATTTATGGTGTTATGAACCGGGCCATGCGGAAGGAGTTTTACGGAATATTAAATTGCCGAAAAGAGGATTGATTCGAGACTAAAATGGTTTTGGGTTTGTCCATCAACTCCTAGCCGTGTTCGAACGGGATTTACTTTCACCCAGAGTTAAGACAAACCAAAGTTTCCCACCTTGGAATATGTAACTGAAGCAAAAGATTAGTATCTAATATAAGCTTGGAGGATAAAATAGTTTTTAATGTTCTTAATTGTTACATTTGCGCGCATCGCTTGGCTTAATGCCTTTATATTATAAAAAATTTGTAACTTCAGATAAGGACTTTATCGAAGAAATAAAGACGATGTTATTTGTTATTTATTAGTGTTAAAATTCTAGTTCTTACTCAGAGTCAGTTGCTTGATATCCCGGACTGCACTCACACATGTAGCCTCCTTCCAAATTGATGCAGACCTGTGAACAGTTGGCGTTATGCAAAGCGCATTCGTCGATGTCTAAGCAGCGAGTTTCGTTGTCCACGGCCTCGAAACCCTTATTACACCCACAGCGGTAGCTAATATTGTAAAAGAAACAGATACATGATTATAATGTGCTGAAAAAGGTACTGTTTACTCTCACTAAGACACTATGTCGCAATACAAGCGGTAAAGAACCAATGAGCATCGAGCAAATAATTCCAATAATTAAAGTTCCGAATCATCATCATCATCATTATCATCCTTCGACCACCTGAGTGAACGGCGACATCCATGAAGATTTCTTCCCAATCACCACGATTCGATATCGCTGTACTCAGGTGCCTGGTATCAAGTCCTAAATCCCTAGCAATCCCTTCGGGTTATGTAAGGTTACGTGAATGCACTTGGCCCACTGGGCGCCAGAGGATGAGAGATGAGATTATCTCTTTCTCTTTATCTGCCCGATAGCAATGACCAGCAAACTGGAGACGCTTTTGCTTGAATGTCAAAGATAAAGGGTAATAATTGATCTATCAGTAAAGGTTTTCGTCCGTGTCTTACCTTCCTTCGAGGTTAAAGCACTTATGACAGTCAGGTCTTCCCTCTAAGCATTCATCAGTGTCCACACATTTGTGTGGTAGTTTGTCGTCTTTGTGGTATCCTTGGTAACAGTCACAGTAGAAACCACCTGGTGTGTTGACACACTGCTGCTCACATTTCACGCCTCCCATCAGGCATTCATCAATGTCTGGAGAATAAAACCAATCGTTGACTTCGGTAACTATGTGCTACGTCCACACCTTATTAAGGCCACAGTAAAACGTTTCTTTCCTCACCGATAAGGAATTCGCGAATGATTTTTGAAAAAGCCTCTCAGAGTGGATAAATTTGAAAACCCATCGCTATGTGTTTTAGTGTTGACGAAGAAAGCGGGGCCTCGTTAGAAGCGGTAAAGCGCAGGTTATTTGCGTATTCGTTTGAATGTGGACAACAACCAGAAGGGCGGGAAAACCCCAGTGGACGAGGTTGTTTGGACAAAGCGCATGCCTTCCAATTCACGATCTTCACATAGACCAAAATGCACCTGCTACCCCCCCCCCCCCCTCAAATTTTTCAAAGCCATGTTTTTCACTTTCCTTTCATGTTTAAAGTCCCCCAAAGGAAAAAGAAAATGTTTTTGGAAGATTTGGGGGGTGGGGGGGGGAGGGGAAAACGGCATTTTTCGTTGAGGGTAAATGTTAAATTGTGATGGACAAGGACGGGGCCTAGTAAAAGTGGGAAACGGGCGGGTATTTTGGTGTTGTGTTGAAGGGTGTAAACAACCAGAAGGGGGGGAAAACCCCAAGGGGAGGAGGTTTTTGGAAAAAGAGCCTTCCTTTCCAATCCCGATTTTCACATAAACCAAAATGTCCCTTCTGCCCCCCCCCCCCCCTCAAATTTTGCATAGGCATTGTTTTCAATTTCTCTTGAGTATTACAGTCGCCCAAAGAGAATAGAGAATGGTTATGCAAGATATTGGGGGTGGTGGGGGGAAGGTACAAAGTGCATTATCGTCTAGGTGAAAATGTTGAATACGAACAAGGAAAATAGTTCAAACACTATTACAGTGTACATCGGTGGAAAACATCATTGTGTTCTAGTAGGGCGCGCGAACACTGGCCTGGAATTCGCTAGGGATATGGGGGGGATGACTCAATCGAGTCATTCTTTCATCCTTACCTAAATATACACCACAAAACTCTCTCCGCTTTCATAACTAAAGATAGCGACATCACACACGGAAAATACTTAGCGCTTTTGGGAAACTTTTTTCTCTTGGCTTCGTGAATGTGAGGTTACACTTCAATCTTTAAAAATAACGGATATATTTTGTTGGGGGTGCTCAACAGTCAGAACATTGGAGAGGATAATTGATTCTTGCAGCTAAATTGTTTAAAATTGAATAGTCCACATCCTTCTATTCAAGTCTTTTTTTTAAGGCTCTTTATCGAGTAGAGAAAAAACCATAGCGAAGAGGCGGAAAAAACTAACTACACATTTAAAGAAATGGAGGAAAGTTTTGATATGTGTAAGCTCGAAGAACGGGTGTCCCGCACATGCGTCTGTCTTCACTTTACGTTTATGTTTGAAACAATTTAAGAACATTTGCATGTAACACTGTCTCTTTCTATATATTTTTTTCTTTTCTTATTTACTTTTATTTTTTGGCGGCCTTGTGAAGGTTTCTATGATTTTTTAATAGCTGTAAACTAAGTAGTGCATGATGAAATTTGTTTGGATGTTTTGTGTTTTGCAACTCTGTGGAGGTTTAAGGTATTTTGTAGTTTCTTGTATTCGTTATTAAAGTGTAAAAAAATATCTAAAAAATTGGTAAATTACACAAAAAAATGCTTAGCGCTCACTCTGCAGAAAGTTGATTCGTGATGTGTTACAGTTTCACTGACGAGAAAACGGGAAGTTTGAGGAATGACAAATCTGGTTCATACAATTATATATCGATCATAATACCCAATACTGCATGTAAAGACGGTCATACCTCTGCATGTCTTGCCATTAGCGCTCAGCTGGAATCCCGCTCCACATTTACAGTAAAAACTTCCTGGTGTATTCACACACTGTTGTTGACAATGGTGAAAGCTCCTTGGAAGCTTACATTCGTCTACATCTGAAACATGAGCGATACAGGTAAATATATCCTGAGGACGTGAAATGACGAGAAACTGCTTTAGGGCAGAAGGTGGGGTGGGGGAATGAGGGGGGTGGGGATGGGAGGCTTGGAAGGAGACATATTCGGTTGGTCGTTAGGCCATTGAGCTGTCGATTGTCTTTTATTTCAATCTATAATGTGATTATGTATAAGAGGAATGTGCAGGTTGTTCTTTTCTGTTATGTCATGCCAAAAAAAAGTTAATTAATACAACGAGGACGCTTTATCTTTTAAATAACTATAACGGGCCAGTTATCTTGCAGTTTCCTCTAGAATTGAGGGGAAGAAATTGTGCAACGTAACGTTGTTATAACTACTTGTTTTTTCGGACGGTAAACCATGATTAATGATCCAATTTATGAGGCGGACGTCTCTCAGAGATGGTCAACCCTACTGATCGCAACTAGAACAATGTTAACCTCAGCAATAGTTGTGCGGCCATGTTCAGCATATTTCTGGTGTCTTACCATGACACGTGATTCTGTCCGCACCAATCCGGTAGCCTTTGTGGCACTCACAGTAATAGCTACCATCAGTATCACGACACATCTGCTCACATTTATTGTTCCCAGTTGCGCATTCATTCTCATCTAGGGAGAAAAAAAACGAATATCATTAACCTCATTTCTTACGATGTANGTTAACCTCAGCAATAGTTGTGCGGCCATGTTCAGCATATTTCTGGTGTCTTACCATGACACGTGATTCTGTCCGCACCAATCCGGTAGCCTTTGTGGCACTCACAGTAATAGCTACCATCAGTATCACGACACATCTGCTCACATTTATTGTTCCCAGTTGCGCATTCATTCTCATCTAGGGAGAAAAAAAACGAATATCATTAACCTCATTTCTTACGATGTATTACTACATGTAGGATTCGTGATAAAAATTAACGTCTAGTAAAAACATTTCTAGGGCAACGAAACAAAATGCATGTTAGTTGCATAGTATTATTGTTAAAAAAAACTTTAATGGAATTTTTGATGGGATTCTAGCTCCAGAAGAAGGCAGTATAGAGTTCGGCTAACAAAACTGCCTTTTGATATATTTGTGAGCTAATTTTATCAATTATTTTACGTGTGTAAGATATTCTGTTATGTCGCCTTAGTTAGGGTGCACTGCTCTTTCTTACCATAGGCGAGGTTCTTCTTTTGCTTTTAAGGACAATTTGGCTATAAATACCGCCAAGTTGTCACTCAGCACCAGGAAACACCCTAAACTAATGCGAGACTTACTAATGCAGGTTTTGTTATCTGTGTCTACAATGTAGCCAGGTCTACATGTACACTCGAATCCGCCAACAGTGTTCACACAAGTATCTGAACAGCCACCATTGTTGATCAAACATTCATCAATATCTAAATAATAACAATAAAAAGATTTCATTTAAATGCATTTAGAAAGGACACCGTAGACAGCAAGATCGCGGATACGAAGGACATGAATTGCCGTACCTCTACAAGTCACGCCATCAGTATCTAAAGAGTGCCCCGGCTTACATGAACAAATTTTTCCAAAGTTTGTCTTGGTGCAAAAATCAGTACATCCTCCGTTATTCACAAGACATGGATCAACGACTCCTGTAGATAAAGACAGAAAGTATAAACACGGAATCCAACAAGACTAGAAACTCTAATCATATTTGGAGATGTCAACGCAAGGGTAGAACGTTCTCGTCAGTTATTTAAGGGGGAGGTAAAGGGTCGGAGAGTCGGGGAAGGGGAGGGGGTCTCTAGATCACCTTTCACGAGAAATATAATGAACTTTTCACGATTCACGAACAATAAAATCTTTAAAGACCAAGGTGTTGTTCGAGGCACATAAGGTAATGATGAGTCATGAATTTCCCGTTAAGAGACGGTGCAGTGAGACAGACGGTTAGAGATTTGTTTCGCCCCTTGTGTAGGTGGGATATACGGATCGTCCATGTGAGTGTACTCTTGAATAGAACTGTTGCTGGCGGTGACGGAGCGTTTCGACAACCTCTGCGGTGCGGTGGTCATCTTCAGAGTCAAAGGGATTTGATTAGCCGAGATGGAAGTATTATGAGGCGGAGTCACGGTTTTTTTCCCCAAGAAGTCTAGAAAGGCTAATCGCTGTTGTTAAGGTGTCAGATAAAGGAGGGCATTGTTTTCCTTAGTTATTCATAAGGATTCTGAGTGTTGGTCGGTCATGCGCAGAGAATCGAATCCAGGAAAACCGGTCCACAATCAGGTACTTAACCAATCAAGCTACCTTAATCAGGTGGTAGCCTGCAAACGGAGACGTATTTCCGGACGTCGCTCCTTTCCAAGAGAAGCGACGACCGGAAATACGTAGACCTGAGTTCGCCAGCTATGAAATGACGACATTGCGCATGAGCAGACAATTACTTGAAGGCGGTTAGTTGCAGGTCACGTGTTAGGCTTTTAGCCAATGAAAAGGAAGAAAAATTTGCATCCAATGATAAGATCATTCATTTACTGTCTGGAATCTCTGGAACAATTACCCACCTGCGGGTTCAGCCGTATAAGTAGATACAAAACCAGTTCGAGCTATAGACTGATCTGAGACGAACTTCATCAACAAAACATTAGTTGAAGAACGCAAAGGGGCGGGTTTGGTGTTTCCACAGAATCTACCCAGACTTGTATCGTCTGTCCCTTGGCCGTCAAATATTTCCACATAGTCATACACACAGCCTGCCGAACCTGAGAAAAATAAATTAACATTTGCAACGAAAATGTCCCTCTGCGATTAACAAACAAACTTTGTAAAAGGTACTGATCTGGCAAAAAAAGAAACATGAAAAGGTTGGAGGGAATCCAAGAATGCCTTGGCCAAATCTTCGGCCGTATTTTATCATTCAACAATGAAGAAATATGATGTTGTGCAACACAATAATCGTCTCCATTGTAAATATTTTAATTTCTATGTATAGCCACGTAGTAGTTGATTTCATTACAGGACACGAGGAAGGCTGGGGATCAGGAAAAAGAAAAAGAAAGCGAAAAGGAGCAAGAGGGAGAAAGAGAAGTAAACACTTCCTCATTTCTCTCCTCCTCTCCACTCCCCTCTCACACTTCTATTCTACTTTTTCTCGCGTCCTTGTTTCCTTCCTTTCATCGACTGGTTACATGAACTTAAGATTAAGTGCGAACTTTCCGACAACAGTTTTTTTTAATTTGCACCGAAAAAAATTCTCTTGTTTTTTTAAATCTGCATTCTTATAGTCATTACTCAATTTCCGCCATGTTGCTCGCGATACTGTACAAGAACATCCCATGGTACGAAAATAGAAAGAAAGAAAAAAGGAAGGGGAGGAAGACAGAAAGAAAAGGAAAAAAAAATAAACGATTGCTACTCACACTTTTTGCAAAATATTTACGACCGCTGTACGACCGCTCAATCGAAATTATCATCATGGTTAACGTTTTTGGTGAGTAACCTACCTTCAGCGCCCTCCAGATCAAAGTGCGAAAAACTAAGGGTGACTATTTTTCCCTCGGGTACCCGGACAACATACAAACAATTCAGAGACACCGGGTGATTGTCAGGGTGGTTTGGTGATGTGATCACGCCACTTGATCCTGTAAATGTACGGCCACAGCCTTAAAAGATAGAAATAAATAAACAAATAAATAAATAAATAAATAAATAAATAAACGTTTTGTCGTAATTGCCATTTTGTTTCTTTCAAAAGCCTTAATTACCGTATTTATTCGATTAACCGCCCTGGACGCTTATTAAATTGTTTGACCTTGAGAGTGGACGCTAATTCGGAGCTGGGCGCTAATTAAATCTCAACATTTTCAGCAAGAGTAGTATGTTTATTTTGCAACAAAACAATAAATGGTAATAACAAAACGCGAAGAGGTAACAAAGCAAGGTTCCTGTAAAATACTTTGAAGAAAACTCCGTCTTGGGGAAGTCTCTTATTAGTACTTATTCAGATTTTTGGGAGTGGGGAGGGGGTGGTCGCTTGTTTGAGTTTGAGTGGGAGTGGGAGGGAGGTGGGGTGGGGTGGGCGCTTATTCGAGGCTGGGCCAGGAGCCGATTACTCGGCTCCTGGCTGGGCGCTTATTAACTTTTCCTGCCTTTAGGATGGGCGCTTATTCGAGGTAGGCGCTAATTCGAGGTTGGGCGCTCATTCGAATAAATACGGTAACCTTCGAATTTATTGTCTACTTTTTTTTTACTACTCCAAAAAGCACAATATACTGCAAAGGAGGAGCTTGTAAGGGTTGATCAAAATCGGGACCCACGCACTTTTTCTCTTTCGCTTTGAACGTCTGTTGCTATCCGGGCTATCATCACAGTGGCTAATTCGTCCCCAGTCGTTTGTCCATCTATGCCCAGATGTCGCACATATAATAGTCTCCCGCGACCGTTCCGCGACCACTTACAAATATTAAGCCCTAGAGGACTGGGGACGAGTCAGGCACAGTGGGTTAGAGACAGACCATTAATTTTTTTTACGTGGGGAGGGTAGAGTTGGAAGACACACACAAAAAATTGTTTGCAGCAGGAGCTGCGAAAGTTTTCCAACCCCCCCCCCCCCCGCCCCCGTCAAAAAAATAGTGGTTCCTCCCTTAAAGGATCGATGGAGACTGCCACTGTGGATGGTAATTCTGTAGTCCCTTAAAGGTTTCTACGTTTAGCTACAACCGCAGCCCGTTCGTTGTGCATTGTTTAATTTTTGAAGTTCTTAGCTCACAGCCATCCGTATCAGTTGACGGTCAATTTTTCGGTTAGTTTCAAGCTATCGCTCAAACCCCACATGGTTGAAATGCCTTGCAGCAATTTTTCCTTAACTGGTCATATGTCATTAAAAAGATAATTTAAAAAAATTTAAGTACCTGTCGATGCAAATTGCAGCTTAAAGCCTTTGAAGGCAACAGAGAAATCCGAGTGGAACCTCAAGATCATTTCATTGCCAGTGGACGTTATAGGATCAGGTAATTGACTTCCACATAACTTAGCTACTCTGTTTCTCGGTCCTTTAGTGGCGCCATTATAGACTTCAAGAGAATCGTACTCACAGTTGTGGCTCGGTTCCACCTACGAAGAGGTCGGACACTCAATATTTTAACGCATGTTTCGTGATATTCATCCCCCCTTCCGTATTCTTCCGGAATGGCGGCCTAGGGAACCTAGCTAAAGGAAGGTCAATCGACAAGAACAAAGACGTGAATTTATACTATCATCAAATGGAGACGAAAACTAATCTCTTGATAGCAAACATAAACTGGAACCCCGCTAAACCTAGAACTCATTATTACGGTCACTTTGGCCCGAATAAAAGTTCAGTTATTCTCTTCATTTAGGACCACCCCGTTACAACCAACGACTACCATTTATAGTTCGTTATAATCTACGGTTTTATCTCTCTAGTTAATCCTACCATTCGAATCTAAGTGACGTTTATACTATGAGTAGCTAGTTCAAATGGGTTTTAAGTGAGCGCTTACGTTGAAGGAATACATATTGTGAAAGGTTTGAACCCAGGAGTCATTTCAAAAGGTTGAGTTTGATCGTCCGGGTGAACGTAGTCCTGAATAGGACTGTTGTTGTTGACAGTGACTGACGTTTCGACAAACTGTGCGGTAGTCATCTTCAGAGTCAAAGTGAGTTGTATCACGTCAGTTGATGGTATTATACTCTGGTTACTGATCGGATTGGTCAATTACGTCGCAATGTTTTTGGTCGTCTGTCAGTTAAGCCGTGATGTTATTGGCTATGAAGACTCGTGATCAGTGATTGGTGCGTTTCGATCCGTCTATTGTCACAGTTAAACAGTCGTCTATTGTTAGTCAAATTGTCAGTTCTCCAGTTGTTCTCTCGTGGTTAGTTTTGCTTGATCTCGTCAATAAGTCGTTTGTACAGCGCTGGTAACTGTTGGCTAGGATTCAGTGGCGTTTGTTCCAAGTTAGTAAACCAGCTTTCTAAAGTAAGACGTTGATAGTAGTCTGTAGAATACGGTATACATGTCGCAGAGTCCCAGTCAATTTTATGTTTCGTCTTTAAATGGTGCTCAGCAATGTGATTGTTGACGTCACCATTCCTCATCGCGCGTTTGTATTCGGTCAGTCGCGTGCTTAGGTTTGTGCCGGTTTCACCAATGTAAGAAGCCTGGCAGTCGCAGCATTTGATCTTGTATACTACTCCCTGTCTGTCCTCCGGTTTGTCTTTGTCCTTGACATTAGTAAGCAGTCGCCGTAAAGTGGTTATCGGTTTGTGCGCAACACGTAAATTGTAAGGTTGTAATATACGTGCAATAGTTTCAGAGGTGCCTCTGATGTACGGTAAAGTCGCTGTCGTAACAGGGCCAGAGTTGGTCTGAGAGTTGGAATCAGTGTTACTGTGAGTGTTCCGTCTAACAAAGTCCGTGTTGTAATTGTTCTTACTAAAAACGTTGTTAAGATAATCAGTCTCGTCTAGTAGGCTGTCAGGTGAGTCGCAAACTAGTTGCGTTCGTCTCGTCAGAGTCCGGATAGTAGTAGCCTTGTGAGAGGTCGGGTTGTACGAAGACTGGTCTAGTAATCGGTCGGTATGTGTCGGTTTTCTGTAAATAGTCGTTTTTAGTTTGTTGTTGTCGCGAGTGACCAAGCAGTCTAGAAAAGGTATCTTACCATTTTCTTCGATCTCCTTGGTGAACTGTATGTCCGCGTTCTGTCTGATAAGGTGTTCGTGAAAATCGTCGATTCCGTCTTTGTGTACGACGGTGAATGTGTCGTCAACGTAACGTAACCAAAGAGGTACAGTTCGCGTGTAGGTAGCTAGGGCTTGTTCCTCGATGTTTTGCATGACAATTTCTGCTACAACAACAGAAACTGGAGAGCCCATAGCTGTACCGTGTAACTATTTGTAGTGTTTGCCGTTGTACTGAAAGTCACTGTCAACAACAACAGTCCTATTCAGGACTACGTTCACCCGGACGATCAAACTCATCCTTTTGGAATACATGTTGTTGGTTTTCACATGACGTCACTAGAATTCAAACTACAAAACTATCGATCCTACTGAGATTTTACTTTCATGGTGTATTAGAGCAGCTGAAAACTAATTTTCAAACAAATTTTCGCTTCAAAAGGGTTCTTGGTTTTGTAATAGAGTACGCTTGAATTTCTAAGCTTTTGCGTGACGCAGCATTTACATGACGGCCGAGAGAGCTGTCATTTAGGTTAAAAAAGCTACTTTTTTAGAGGAATTTTGCTATCTAAACAGTTCAAGTGTTAGAAAAAGTATTTCCTTATTGTTTATGAGTTCCTCTAGGAGTAAATTCACGCTTTTGTAGGAAAGCTCGGTAACAAATGTTTCTGTTGGTTTCCGTCCGCCATGTTGGAGCTCATCCGGATGAGTTCTAGCATGGCGTCTCCATACAAAGCTCTGTAAATTTGGGTAAAACATCATTCCTCGGATATCTCGTATACAAATTATTCCTTCGACCCAAATCTTGGCGAGGGTCTTTGTATATTTACCTCCTTTCATTTCCCAGATTCTGGACTTTATCTGTCGAATGGTTTTGATTTATATTTTGATCTATTTTGAATGGCGCGACACTGAAAACCAACAATACACTACGAAAGCCGAGGAGGGTGTTCCGACTTCCGACTTCCAACTTCCAACTTCCAACTTCCAACTTCCAACTTCCGACTTCCGACTTCCGACTTCCGACTTCCAACTTCCGTAGCAAGGAAAGACGGAGATAGGCCTACACGACTTTTACCTTATGCTAAAATGCTGTTTGTTTCCAAAAACGTTTTTTTCCCTTCTGCTGGGTAGATTATGCTCTAGAAGGCTCTGGTTAAGCCGCCTATTTCGCATTGAGAGGTCATGGCATACATATCGATTTGCTGTGGTTTTTGTCTCTGGTCGACAGGATTTGCCCTCTGATTCAAGAGCATATTCTTTAAGGTTTTTTATTACGGCCAAGTAAGGGCTCTAATTTTCTCCAAAGTGCCTTCTGGGCCTGAATAACTATGTGACTGTTTTTAGTCCGTGAATATGCAATGCTGTATCACGCTGGGCCCAGCTCGTTAGTTTTCTTTGAAGGATGTTGAATTATCACGGATAGTGATTTACAGATCCAAAGTAATAGAAATGAAGTGCAGCTTAAAATGAAGCTACATCAACTATGGAGAATGCATTGTGACTCAGTAGATTCCAGCTTAGTGTTTTTCTTAACTTGAGAAAATGTGAGTCTTTTGACTGGAGCGTGTACTTCCTTCCTTGGTTATAGGTTTTTAATAAGCTTAACAGTGTTTAGACTGTTTTGTTATCACTGTTGCCACTTTGTGACCAGGCAAAACCATGGTTTCGGTTCCCCAAGCGAACCTCATCAGCTGGCTGATTGGCTTTGTGCTTAGTTGCTTTTACAAGAGCAACTTTAGTTGTTCTCTTTTGTGGCTAGAACGGTACAGCCGTTCTTTCTGCTGAGCCTTGAACTTGAGCATTAACCCGCGTGGCGGATCGAGCGGCAATCGAGCCTGACAGAGGATTCAAGTCGGAAGTCGGAAGTTAGAAGTGGGAAGTTGGAAGTGGGAAGTGGGAAGTTGGAAATCGGAGGTCGGAAATCGGAAGTCGGAAGTCAGAAGTGGGAAATGGGAAGTAGGAGGTCAGAAGTCTAACCATGCTGCATTTAGTCTCAACGGTCAGAAATCAGAAATCCGGAGTTCGAACTTTGTCAAGTCTGAAGTCTGAACTTTGAAGTATGAAGTCTTAAGTCTGAAGTCGGAAGTCGGAAGTCGGAAGTCGGAAGTCAGAAGTCGGAAAACCCTCCTCGGCTTTCGTAATACACAGATTCATTGCAGCATTCATAACTTTCACATAGACCACAATGCACCTTGTTTATCCCCTAAAATTTTGCATATATTGTGTCTTGTATTTCTCTTCAGACTACTGTAATACCTGGTGCGGGAGAAATTGGAAACAACGGTTATGCAAAATTTTGGTGTGTAAACAAGTTTCGTTTTGATCCATCTGAAAATAGTGAATTGGCCGGGTGAGACTGGGTCGGAGTTGCGTTGATTTGAATTATGGGACTGTTTTGAATTTGCGGGAAGAATTCTGACCCAGTTTCCCGCAAAAAACGTGTAATACCATCCATTAGAGATGTGATCCAAGTGTGCAAGTGTGCAATAATCCAAGTGTGCAATTAGACCCACCATCCTGGTCTCAAGCACAACCTTAAAATGGTGTATAGTTTTAAAAGGTTTAAGCATCATTTTACCAAGTCAAATACCGCAAAATTTAACATGACCAACCGAAGGTAGTATTACACTGAATAACAAACGATGCTAATTTCTTACCTTTCGACAATGATGACATGAAATCATTGCCCTGGTCAACTTTCTTATATATCGTGTGCTTTGTACACTAATCTACTCAAAATGCACTCTATCACTTACTTCAAAGTCGCTAAATGTCAATTTTATTCGCGAGCCTTGACCGACGCAGATTTTCCACTCACAGTTTGCCTCATCAGGATAGCTTAAAGGGAAACGGGGACTTGTAATTTCACCAGTGCTGTTGGTGGTTAGGTCTCCTCCACACTGAACTGAAAGGTAAAAAAATTCAGAAAGCTGTATTCGCAGGCTAAGAGAGTCTTGGTTTATGTCTTACTCATTCACCTTTCAGGACTTCTGGTTCATTGACTTCGTCAGATTCAGCTGAACATGCATGTGTTTTACTCCTAATAGAAAGACTTTGTTTAAGGTGGCGGCAGATTTTTTAAAACTGTGAAAGGTTTGAACCCAGGAGTCATTTCATAAGTAGGATGGCTTAACGATAGAAAAGACGATGATTTATCTCTTGATTTTGAACTGGCAAGGTGCTGTAAAAATTTGTGACGTGCAAAGACAAGTATGGTTCTTGCTTTATGAATGGGCATACGTTTCCAGTTTGACTTTGTTCACGAGTGACGCGTTTCATTCTCTAGTGATTTTTTTTGTGGATTTCACTTTTATTTTCTCCTGCATATTGGCGTTAATGATATTTTAAAGGGTCTAATCTGAATTGAAAAAACCAATACAAGGTTTGAGTTTTTCGAAATAAAGTAGAAATTTAATGTCCTGAACGAAATCACGATTCCGGATGATTTCGTTTTCTTGGTCGATGAACCTCAACAGTCTAGTGGACCAATAGGTCATACAGATATCGCTTATCAGGTAAAGACATGACAAAAATAACACATGATGTTACTTCTTTTCTAAAGTTGGCGAGATAAATGTGGTATTTCAATGTCAACAACCCGCTGAGTGGATAAGGCTATTTTGACAGTAGGTACAGAGGGAATTACTTGGACAAAATAATTTCTCATAGTTTATAAAATAATCACAGCACGAATGGACGTGCTCTATATTTCAGCACCACTTCCGCTTCACAATTTCACACTGCTGAAAGTCCAGTTGGTATATCGAGACCTTCAAAGACAACGGAAGAAGAAAGCAATCCCTGGGGGACAGTCCTTGTTCACGTTTCTCTTCAAAGGTACCCTGAAATACAATGTACCTCATTTCTTTCATTCTCTAAAACAAATGAAAACTTGCCTAGGTTATCCACTGAAAGAAAAATGGGAGCCTGCCCAAATTATCCTGTGATATTTCAGTCAGTTAGATAAATAGCACATTGTGCTTGATAAAAGCTCCCTGGGGGAAATACTGCAGCTGTAGTTTATATTTTAAGACCCAGAAACAAGCATTATCAAATCCAGTGTTTAAGGTTAAAAGAGGTTTTCCTTTGAGTGGTTAAATACAAGTGTTTCACTAATATGCGTCAATGGTGCGTATTCCCCCACCCCCACTAACAACTTTCTTTCAACTTGCACGGAGACACTAGAATGCTCTTGTTGTAGCATTTTTCTCTTGGCGAACTGTTCGCTTCCGTTTATTATTGAAACAAATCACCAGCTCTCTCTTTCGACTTCGGATTCCAGCCACTTCAGAAGCTAGAGCATCCTTTAGAAGTGCATTTCATAGAGTGCGACAACTAATTCTGCTAATTCAGTTCCAAGTATTCTCAGCTTGTATCGATTTCCTGTTTTTTAAAAGATCTCCATTGATGCGTGCAAAGCTGTTCAAGAAATGATTTACTCGTTTGGTCATGGTGAAACTATAAAAACGCGGCTTACCATTATTTGATCGCCGTCGTAGATGTCGCAAAGACTGTTTCTCTGCAATATCTCGCCGTAACCACGGGAAATAAGTTGCCGTAGAGGGATATACCGTCGAACCGAAGAAGACCCCAAAGCATACGCTACAAGAAACACGGATTGAAACACGCACTGGTAAATAAAGTAGCCAAATGAACTGATGGATTAAATGGATACCATTTAGATTGAACTTACAAACAGCGTAATAGCATAAGGTTCGCCATATTCAATTCCTCGTCAGTTAAAGTCGAACTTCGGTGCGCTATGGCACTTTTCAGACGTGTGCGTACGTCAAATAGGTAACCTTATATCCCAGTTCCTCCTATAATTTTTGGAAATGATCCCATAATATCAAATTTAAAACTGATACATGGTACGTGTAAAATACAAAACAGTAATCCATGAAGGGACTTTTAATCATAACCGGGATCACGGGTTTCTCAGCTTGTAAATTCACGGGCATCCCATAGCGACCGGTTTATATAAGAGTTCTTATCTTAAGTTTAGGACAGAATGGCAAAACCAGGATCGCCTCCCTATTTGATTTTTTATATTCTTGAGTGGCAATTCCCGGTTTCTCTAGTCTAGACTAAAATCTTCAGCCAATTGATCAATTTAAATGGAAAATTATACCCTCTTCTAGACCCAAACTCTCTGGTTTATATACCCTATCCCAGAGTAAACTGCTTGAAAACCATACCCCTCACAGCGGCGCATACCTATGTAGCCCATATATGGCAGTACCCCCCCGGGGATCTCCTCATGGACACAAAATACAGCAGAGATGAGAGTATTTTATTTTGTTTCTTTACAATAAGCTGAGATAAGGCGAGGGTTTTCGAATTTTTTACTGTTCCATGAACCCTATAATTCGCTTCGTTACGCAGCAATACCAGATGTTCTAATTGTAGCTAATTTTTACCAAGCGCTTGCATCAGTTAATGTCTTTGGACAAGAGCCATGATGGCTCTTGGCGTGGGATGCCTGTAGACTACGAGTAGTCCTCCATTTATCCGCAGGGATAGTAGAGCGAGCGAAACGCGAGCGGGCGTGAAAATAACCCCACGCGAGAAAAGGGGCAACACGTGGCGTGTCGCCTTTTTCTCGCGTGGGGTGATTTTAACGCGCGCTCGCGTTTCGCACGCTCTACTATGGGGGACTACTCGTAGTCTAGGAGGTCTATGGTAAATTGACTTTTTTGACTGATCCCCTTGAGATTCTGTTAGGGTGGGCCGGGTGAGGTATAATCAGGGTCAATTTTTGCTGGGTATGTGCCCCTGGCCTCTCAGAACCCCTACCCCATTATACTTGTAGCTAATTATGCACTTAGAGACTCCTAGTCACTTTTGGGCAAATATAATTTTCACTATCAAAAGTTAGTCACTCTCTATTCATGCATCTACCTTACAAAGCCTTTTATAACTGGCTCATTCTAGCAAATTTTTAGCCGCAAATCTTCTCATTTTTCAACTGACCTTATGTTACCAGAATTTTCTTGCCCTATTTATCCATATTTCTTTGCCATAATTTACATTAAAGACAGCCTTTTTTCAAAAAAGTCGAAAAAATAATGATAATTATGATGATAATGATGATGATGATAGTGGTGGTGGTGGTGGTGATTATGATGATGATGATGATGATGCGGCAATTGGGACTGTGAAAAAACTGACCTTGCCCTTGTTAAGGATGTCCTGTAAAAGAGGAAAAGTCAGTCCAGCAGGAGAAAGGTATCCAATTCATGTTGTCCGCACAGATAGTTTTCTCCGCCTGATTTTGATGGTGCTGGGAGTTTGCAATTCCAGTGACGAGTTGCTACTAAGAGAACCAAACTGCAAAAAACCTTAGAGTTAGAATTATTTAACTCAGGAAGAATGGAAAATGCTTTGTGGCAATCGCATAATTATAGCATGAGATGCTACAAAGGCGATACCTTAAGATACAGCTATTTCAAAAAACGTTGTCGGAAGAAAAGCAAAAAGCCTCTAAGCAAAGACCGAAAGGTAATATGGGATTTTTATAATGACCTGCTTCAGGTCCCATAGGAATTTTGCGGCCTCTCAAGTATGTCCCTGAAAACAGTATGGAACGTCGTTCTGTAAGTGAGAGTACTAAACGTTGGACAACTCTTAAAACAGAGGTGGTTGGAGGGCCTTCAAACATTAGGGAGCTTAAGCAAATACAATGGCGACAAAAGAGACCGTGAACAACATATAGGTTTAAATAGCTGTATTCGCAGGCTAAGAGAGTCTTGGTTTATGTCTTACTCATTCACCTTTCAGGACTTCTGGTTCATTGACTTCGTCAGATTCAGCTGAACATGCATGTGTTTTACTCCTAATAGAAAGACTTTGTTTCAGGTGGCGGCAGATTTTTTAAAGCTGTGAAAGGTTTGAACCCAGGAGTCATTTCATAAGTGGTTGATTATGATCGTCCGGATGAACGTAGTAGACGATGATTTATCTTTTGATTTTGAACTAGCAAGGTGCTGTAAAAATTTGTGACGTAAAGCAAAGACAAGTATGGTACTTGCTTTATGAATGGGCACACGTTTCCAGTTTGACTTTGTTTACGAGTAACGCGGTTTTTTTTGGCATTCTCTAGTGATTTTTTTTGTGGATTTCACCTTTATTTTCTCCTGCATATTGGCGTTAATGATAAGTTAAAGGGTCTAATCTGAATTGAAAAAACCAATACAAGGTTTGAGTTTTTGGAAATAAAGTAGATATTTAATGGCCTGAACAAAATCACGATTCCGTATGATTTCGTTTTCTTGATGGATGAACCCCAACAGTCTAGTGGACCAATAGGTCATACAGATATCGCTTATCAGGTAAAGACATGACAAAAATAACACATGATGTTACTTCCTTTCTAAAGTTGGTGAGATAAATACGGTATTTCAATGTCAACAACCCGCTGAGTGGATAAGGCTGTTTTGACAGTAGGTACAGAGGGAATTACTTGGACAAAATAATTTTTCTTAGTATATAAAATAATCACAGCGCGAATGGACGTGCTCCATATTTCAGCACCACTTCCGCTTCACAACTGATTTCACACTGCTGAATGTCCAGTTGATATATCGAGACCTTCAAAGATAACGGAAGAAGAAAGCAATCCCTGGGGGGCAGTCCTTGTCCACGTTTCTCTTAAGAGGTACCCTGAAATACAATGTACCTCATTTCTTTCATTCTCTAAAACAAATGAAAGCTGGCCCAGGTTATCCACTGAAAGAAAAATGGGAGCCTGCCCAGATTATCCTGTAATATTAAAGTCTGTTAGGTAAATAGCACATAATGTGCTTGACAAAACCTCCCCGGGGGAAATACTGCAGCTGTAGTTTACATTTTAAGACCCAGAAACAAGCATTATCAAATACAATATTTAAGGTTAAAAGAGGTTTTCCTTTGAGTGGTTAAATACAAGTGTTTCACCAATATGCGTCAATGGTGCATATTCCCCCACCCCCACTAACAACTTCCTTTCAACTTGCACGGAGGCACAAGAATGTTCTTGTTGTAGCATTATTCTCTTGGCGAACTGTTCGCTTCCGTTTATTATTGAAACAAATCACCATCTCTCTCTTTCGACTTCGAATTCCAGCCACTTTAGAAGCTAGAGGATCCTTTAGAAGTGTATTTCATAGAGTGCGACAACTAATTCAGTTCCAAGTATTATTAGCTTGTACATATCGATTCCCTATTTTTTAAAAGATCTCCATTGATGCGTGTAAAGCTCTTGAAGAAATGATTTACTCGTTTGGTCATGGTGAAACTATAAAAACGCGGCTTACCATTATTTGATCTCCGTCGTAGATGTCGCAAAGACTGTTTCTCGGCAATATCTCGCCGTAACCACGGGAAAAAAGTTGCCGTAGAAGGATACACCGTCGAACCGATGAAGACCCCAAAGCATACGCTACAAGAAACACGGATTGAAACACGCACGGGTAAATAAAAAAGCCAAATAAACTGATGGATTAAATTGATACCATTTAGATTGAACTTACAAACAGCGCAACAGCATTAGGTTGGCCATGTTCAATTCTTCGTAGTTAAAGTGGAAGTTCGGGCGCTGCGGCACTTTTCAGAAATGTACTTCAACTAGGTAACCTTATATCCTAGTTCCTCCTATAATTTTTGGAAATGATCCCATACAAGAGCCATAATATCAAATTTCAAACTGATAAATAGGGTAGTACGTGTAAAATGCAAAACAGTAATCCATGAACGGACTTTCTCAAACATAATCGGGATCACGGGTTTCTCAGCTTGTAAATTCATGGGCATCCCAACAGGCTGGTAATGTTGAGTAGCGACCGGTTCATATAGTTCTTGTCTTAACTTTAGGACAGTATGGCAAAACCAGGATCGCCTTTGGGGGGGAGGGGGAGGCGGGGGGATACTTTAGGACTTTTTGGGTGCGGATGTGCCGCTGGGATCCTGGAACCCTGGAACCCTTAGCTACCAGAGCTTGTTCAAGTGAATTTTGCTACCCTATACTACACTAATGCACCTATCTTACCCTGTCCTAGAGTAAACTGCTTGAAAGCTCTTCACAGCGGCACATAACTGTATAGCTCATATATGGCAGTAACCCCCGGGGATCGCCTCATGTACACAAAATACAGCACAGACGAGAGTATTTTATTTCGTTTCTTTACAATAAGCTGAGATAAGGCGAGGGTTTTCGAATTTTTTACTGTTCCATGAACCCTATAAGTCGCTTCGTTACGCAACAATACCAGATGTTCTGCTTTAGGCTAATTTTTAGCAAGCACTCGCTTCAGTTAATGTGTTTGGGCAAGAGCCATCTCTTGGTTTGGGATGCCTGTGGTAAATTGACTTTTTTGACTTTAAATATCCCCTTGAGATGCTGTTAGGGTGGGGTGAGGTATAATCAGGGTCAATTTTAGCTGTCCTATGTGCCCCTGGCCTCTCAGAACTCCTACCCCATAATACTTGTAACTAATTATGTACTTAGAGACTCCTAGTCACTTTTGGGCAAATATAATTTTCACTCACACAAGTTAGTCACTCTCTATTTATGCATCTACCTTATAAAGCCTTTTATAACTGGCTCATTCTAGCAACTTTTTAGC